AGTTACTTTCTTGTATCTAGAGTCTAACATGATTAAAAGTTTTATGGAGTTGTTAAGCTAGGGTCTATATTATTCAAGTTTTACCGATTAGTAGAAGTTCCTTTTTTTTTTTTTTAAAAAAAAAAAAAAAAAAAAAAAAGTCATTATGCGTTTTTATAATGATTTGTTTAGGCTCTTGATATATTATTAGTTATTTGACTTATTTCTAATTTTTATCTATGTTCTTTTTTTTTCTTTTTTTTTCTTTTTTTTTTTTTTATCAATGTGTGTTTTAGAAAAATGCTGATGCTTTTATTATAATGTCATGTGCTTTTGTCAGCGAAGTTATTCCGCTTGCTTGTAGAATTTCATATAACTATATACATGTTCTAATTTGCAAATTACTGCCTCCAATCCTCCATTCCTTATTTTTTACCTCATTGCATATAATTGGGTTAGTTTTTTAAAGCTTTGTTTACAAAATCTCGTTAATCTATAAGTAATAATATATTCATTTGGATACTTGTTGAAATCGTCTATGTGTATGTCTATTTTATATCAATCTAGTTATCTAGTTATTATAATTTTTATGCTTATAAAAATGAAGATACATACGATTTAAGATGCATTTTAGAGATCGTGAAAAAGTTAAATGGGACAAAGAAAATGACGGTAGAAGTATATATCAAGGGATGTAAACGTTGGGTTAATTGGTTATAGGGTTAAGTTAATAATTGGGTCTTCAACTAATGTGGCTATGACTCTATGAGTCCATACCAAGCATGAAACGAACAAAACCCATAACTCGCAGCCCATAACTTGTTACCTTCTGATTATTGGGCTGCATAATTTGAGACCTTGACTTGAAGACTGGAGGACACTTGTTTTTGTCGTTTTTTTTTTTTTTTTTTTTGTTTGAGAAAGTCTGTTAATTAGTTGATAGCTGGTTGTATCAATTTCTTGTTAAAAAAAAAAAACCAAAAACAAAAACAAAAACAAAACAAAAGGTCTAATTGAATCCATTCACACTGTTTTTCTTTTCTTTTTTTTTTCTTTTTTTTTCTTTTTTGGAAATTACCAATAGCTGATTGCATTAGATGTTTTGCTTAGCTGATTGTATTAGTTGTTTATGTAAAACTATTTACTCATAGTAAAATTAGCTCAAAATTTGTACTTTGTATTTGGTTTGTTTATCTAGCGTTTGAAAAGTAATTTAAGGACATTGGTATTTAAGTAGGTTGTGATGTACAGTAAATTATAATAACTTTAGGACCAAATTGTCATTTAGCTAAAATTTCTCAATTAATCCTTTGAAAAAAGCCTCCATTTCTCAGTTTTTTTTACAAACCAAGAAGTAATAAATTCAACTCAATCAACTTTTAAAAAAAGATCTTTTACCAAATAAAATGTTGCACTTCATACTTCATAGTTGTTTTATGTGGTCAACCCTCTAATTTGGTCAAACCGGCTCATTTTTAAGTCAAAACTTTATTTACCAAACAAGGGCCGCCTTATAGAAATTCCAAGGCATTAAACTCTTTCGATCTAGTTAACTTGGTAAGGCTTTAAAAGTACTATTTCTAGTAGTCACAAGTTCATACAACTTGATTCTAGTTCATGAAAATAAAATATATATATATGAAAAACCTAAAAATTTTAGATTTTGTTGCAGAGATGAACAAATTTCAAAGTACATGCATACAAGAGGAGGATATCAAACGAGAACAACAAGAAAAAACAATTTCATCACTGTTGTCATAGTACGTTATTACTTATTAATGAAGCTTAGGTAACACAACACTACAACAGCAGTATTATATTCTACAATAAATTTTGAAATGAACTTTGGGCCTTTAATTTGAAAGATACAATTGTTCTTTAACCTCTCACTAATATAAATGCAATCGCTTGTAAGAGTAAGATAACATCATTACAAAATTTACATTACTTTTACAGTATTAACCAATAACATCATTATTAGATAACCTTGGCAATCTGCATGATATGACAGTTTGTATAAATTGAATCGTACCACTACAACATCATAAGAGCTTCATCTTAATTCATGCTTCTTGTTTTACTTGTACAAAAATCTTGTTCATTAAAAATAATACTCAACTCCAATCCATCCACATCCTAAAAGTTTATGCTAGCTGAATTATCGCATAGAGCTATGTTTAATTCAACTTAACTGATCGGAACTAATTCTAATTTATATTTATTTGTTATTTTAACTAATAAATTTTAGGAAAAATACACTTTAATAATCCCAACTATATATTGCCGATTTACCTACAACAATTCCAACTAATGTTTATTTTTTAATAATCCTAACTATGCACTCAGTTTTCCTCCAGCAGTCCCAAAAACCGGTTACCTGCTGAAACGGTAAAAAAAAAAATTGTTTTTTAAATGCCACGTGTCATCACATGATTGGCTTAATTTAAAAAAAAAACAAAAGAAAAAAAAAAGAGTAATCGGATCGGCCAACCGCCGCCGTTCCCAGCCACACACAGCCAATCGGAACCCGCCGACCACCGCCCTAACCTTCCGAAAATGGCCGTCGGCCCTCCATACCCTAGAAACACACACCCCCGATCGACCCCAACCCCCTAAAACCACTCTCCTGTCTCCTCCCTTCCTACCCCTTCGCTGGAAAATCAATTCAAACAAAAAAAAAATTCAATCATTGTCGCTCCTCCTCCCTTCCTACACCCTCGAAACCGTCCATGAGGGAGAATTCGAGGGTTGGGGAAGGAGGGAGGGTCGTTTTTTATTCGAGGGTTTCAGTGGTTTGGAGTGGAAGTTTTTAAAGGTCGAATTCGGTGGTTTGGGAGTGGGAATGGGCTGGCGAAGGTGGATTTTTTGTTGGAAAGGATCGGCCAGCCATTTTCGAGAGTAAGGGGTGACGGCCGGCCATTTTACGAGGGGCTAGGGGTTGGCCCTGGTATTTAGCGGTGGCACAAGTCACAAGGGAAGGGGTGGTGGCTGTGAGGTTTTTTTGTTTTTTTTTTTAATTTTTAATTTAATTTTTTAATTTAAACCAATCACGTGCTGACACGTGTATTGGTTACCTGTCATAGCAAGTCATTACTTGATGTTGACCGGATGGGTCTGTTGGAGGAAAACTGGGTGCATAGTTAGGATTATTAATTAATAAACCTTAGTTGGGATTATTGTAGGTAAATCGGCAATAATTAGGATTATTAAAGTGTATTCAACTAAATTTTAAGCATGATCTGATTACTTGAATTAAGAAAATATTTTCTTAATTAAATAAATTGAATTGAATAGAACCTATACGATCATGAATTCATGGTTCTACGATGGATCAATGAAGGGGTAGGACCGGATTGATAGAATTGGATTATAAGGTCATATATAAGATTCTCATTGATAATAAAAGCACAAATTTAGCAACATTATACAGTATGTAAAATGGTCTATCATCTTAAATTATATTGTATATTGAATTTGATCGATAAATCATGCGTAAAATTGTAGAATTGTATTAAGATCCTACCAATACTCTTGAAATTTTTTTTTTAATCAAAGAGGGATCTTATATAAGATTATTATCAACTGATTATTTTTAGTGCCAAAAATGTGAATCAAAGTAATTGAACCTAGTAAGAATGTGCTAGAAGAGAAGCAAAAATTTATTGGAGCTAAATAAAATTTGACTTTTGCAATGTAATTATTACTTCATTTATCATACCATAGTTAAGTTGCAACTATATCATCCAAAATAAATTAAACTTTTCTTAACCCAAATGACATAAAAAGCCGAGACAAATTAAAAGAAATGAGTACAGCACTATACTAGTCCTGAATAGGAGATGATTTTATGAAGCAGGCCAGCCAGGGTGAAGAAATTCAGGAGATTTCTTAGTAGAAAACGCAAATTTCCAAATCTAAACATAACCCTTTTGACATAAATAGAATTTTCTCAAGTGTAAAAAGAAATTACTAAATATATTCACTACAAATTTACTAATAATAGAAACAAGTTGAAAATTCTTTTTCCTATCAGAAAGACAAATGATGATAAATAGAAAAAAGTTAACATTTGACAAAAACAACACATTACTGAAATCTGCAAAATTATTTTGGAGTACGTACTAAACTTAAATTACTACATATATAATATAAAGTTTTGGTGTGCCACCCTTTTATACCAAGAATCAGGCTTTTATTTGGGTTGTTAAAAGTGGAGTTGTGGGTTTTATTGGTGCAGCTTCTTTCTTTAATTTCACTCAGTTTTGTGTGAATCATCTCAAACTTAGCTAGCAGTGTGAAGTAAATAGTGAATTGATAGATGGTTCTTTCAGCTTTACTATACCTTTCACTTTTTTCAGGTGACTTGTGTACGTTAACTTGACATATGTGACCAATTTGGCCCCTTGTTATTCGAATTATTAGGTTGAGAATTTGAGAATTGGGATAGCTTAATTAGCCCTTATTGATCGACAGATTCATTTCCGAAATTGGATGACTCTTTAATATTTCGATTTTACTATAAACCTTATTAATTTCCAGCTTAATTAACTCATCACTTGAATACGACTCAAACTGAATGTACTCCATATAACTTTAAAAAGTATTTGAATAATATAGCATATATTAATCCGATTGTAACCCAAAATGAAATAAATGAATGTCATTCAATTAGGAAGATCCTTTTTTTTGGTATGAACTTAAATTACTAACAATGTAGCATGTATTACCGAAATCGATCAATCTTTTAAAGAACTCATCATCAGTCAAATGTGTCCCAAACTAAAGTTATTTAATTGCAACTATTAGTTCCAATCAGTTCAGTTCAGTTCAGCTTCTAATTTCCCTCTCTTATAAAATATTCATTTTAGCTCGGTCCAATTCAGTTCAGCTTCAATCAGTTCAGTTCAGTTCCAATCAGTTCAGTTCAACTCAGTTCATAAAATGTGACCAGATCCTTAGTATTGTATGAGAAACTAATTAGAGGAAGAGAGAGGGGGAAAAAAAAGCAAAGGTCAGTCAACTGCTGCCCATCATGCCTTTTCTATTCCTATATAAACCCGGTTACACTTGCACTAAAATTCCCACAAACCACTTAAAAAACAACACTTCCTTTTTCAATCAATTTCTTCATTAAACCAATGGAAACTTTCAACCAAGCTTCAATAGCAATCCCTTTCCCTTACAATTATGGCATAACAAATGTTCCTACTTTCACCCCAACTTTTCATCCTTACACTACTATCACTACAACATTTCCTCCTCCTCCCACCACCACTCCTACTACCATCACTGCCTCCTCATGGATGGATAGTCGCCTTTGGAGCCGCCTTCCGCAACAACTCATTGACCGAATCCTCGCTTTCCTCCCCTTGCCCGCCTTCTTCCGTGCTCGGTCCGTGTGCAAGAGATGGTATGCACTTCTATACTCCAACTCTTTCCTTCAACTCTACCTTCAAGTCTCCCCTCGCCACCATTGGTTCATCTTTTTCACCCACAAAACACCCAACACTAGTACTATTTATCGAAATAATAACTTGAAATATCATAATAACAATGGAAACGAACAAGGAGACAATAATGTTGTATCAACCAGGGCTTATCTTTTTGACCCTTATGAGGTCAAGTGGTACATTATCCCTTTCCCTATTATACCCGTAGGGTTTTCGCCCGCTACCACCTCGGGCGGGCTTGTTTGTTGGGTGTCCGATGAACCCGGCCTGAAAAACCTTTTCCTCCACAACCCACTACTCGGGTCAGTCACCCAACTACCACCCACCCGCCGCCCTCGGCTTTTCCCATCTGTTGGACTGTCTGTTACACCAGCATCAGTTGATCTGATTCTTGCAGGAGATGACATGATCTCCCCTTACGCAGTCAAAAACCTTACTGCAGAGTCCTTCCACATCGACTCAAGCGGGTTCTACTCCGTCTTCGACACCGCCTCCTCCCTCCCAAGACTCTGCAGCCTTGAATCAGGTCAGATGGTTCACTCTGATGGCAGATTCTACTGCATGAACTACAGTCCCTTCAGTGTCTTAGCCTACGACGTCTCCTCGAACGCGTGGTGGAAGATCCAAGCTCCTATGAGAAGATTCTTAAGGTCTCCTTGCTTGGTTGAGAGCAATGAGAGACTCATCCTCGTGGCGGCCGTCGAAAAGAGCAAGCTCAATGTCCCAAGGAGCTTAAGAATGTGGGTGCTTCAAGGGTGTGGGAGTCAATGGGCCGAAATCGAGAGGATGCCACAACAACTGTATGCTCAGTTTGAGGAAATTGAAGGAGGAAGAGGGTTTGATTGTGTTGGAAGTGGTGAGTTTATTGTGATTATGATTAAGGGTGTGATTAATAAAGGATTAATGTTTGATATTGAGAGAAAGAGTTGGATTTGGATGCCTTGTTGTCCAAGTAATGGTAATTTAAGTTGTGAGATTGGTAGTAATTTGGAGGGTAATTTGCATGGATTTGCTTATCAACCAACATTGGCTGCACCTGTTACTGCACTTGTTCAGCAATTAGCTACCTCTTCACTTTCAGAGTTTTAAATTAATTAATTAAGTTTAGGATAAATTGGATTTTAACACCTGACAAAAGGCTGAAAATGGTTTTTAACACCCCCCAAAAAAAAACTTTTATTTTAACACCTCCCAAAAATATAAAAGTTGGAAGTTAACATCAGTTAACGATTTCCGTCACGGAAATTTAACGTGGGTCCCATAAATTGGTTTTCGCTCTCCTTCGTTTTCAATTTTTTACGAAACCCACCTTCGTGGCTGCCATCCCATTTTTTCTTCTTATTCCTCCCTTCATCTTTTCTTCGTCTTCTTCCTCCCTTCATCTTCATGGCTGCCATCCCAAACTCTTTCCTTCGTTCTTGCCCACCGGGCACCGGCCAACAAACAGCCATTGACAATTCTCCCGACAGCCAGCCCCCACCTCCTTTCAAACCCATCCCCCTTCACCCACCCCCAAATGCACTCGCGATGATTCCGATCAAGCTTGGTTACATTAATGGTAGAAACTCCCACACCACCACAGTCGTCATTTCGACGAATAATCAGCAAAATTTGATCATTTAATAGAAGGAAGTCGTTGGATAGTAGCCCAAATAAGGTCGTCGTCGTTTTCGCGACCGATTCGGAGTTGGAAATTAGGGCTTGATTGAGTTAAAGCTTGATGAAATTGGGGGAATTGAGACATTTTGAGACGGGTGGAGGGCCGAAATCAGGACGGAGAAGGGGGGATGGAATCGGGACGGGGAAGGTGAGGGGGGCCGAGGTGGCTTCGCTGGCGAATCTGGTGGAAGATCTCGCGGAGGTGCTGGTAAGGAACGTGGTGGCTCTGAAAAATTTGACTGTGAGATTGGTTGCAGAGTTTAGGCGAGCTGTGTGGTGGATATTGTGGGCTTGCTGGTTGAGTTCACAACGATTTTGAGGGAATAGCCTGGAGGTTTGGTCGAGTTGGATTCGCTGGGGAAATCGATTTTCGCCACTGTTGGTTGTCCGGAGTGGTGGTTTCTATGGTGGCTATTCTAGTGTTTTGGTTGGAAGAGGACAAAACATGTTTGCTGGCTGCGAAGGCTTGGTCAGTAGCCGTACAGGGCCCTTTATGGGCGGCGGAATTGGTGGTAAAAAAAATGGAAGTTCTCAGTCGCTTTGTTCTCCAACGAAGGAGAAGATGAACCGGTGTTGAATTTTTTTATTTATTTTTTGTATGGTTTGATTTATGAGCACCAAAAATCTGTAAATCTGTAAATTATGAGCACCAAAAATCTGTAATGGATAAAATCAATGAAATGAAGGTTCAGAGAGGAAGTTTCGTGTTTTGCTGGGTGAAAATTGAAGTTGAAGCCAATTTGTGGGACCCACGTTAAATTTCCGTGACGGAAATCGTTAACTGGTGTTAACTTCCAACTTTTATATTTTTGGGAGGTGTTAAAATAAAAGTTTTTTTTTGGGGGGTGTTAAAAACCATTTTCAGCCTTTTGTCAGGTGTTAAAATCCAATTTATCCTTAAGTTTATAGTTGATGTAATTTGGTTAATCAATTAGCTGAAAATTTTAACTTAGTTACTGATGCTTTATTTTTCAAGTCAGTTTACTAATTAATGTAATTTAGTTAATTAGTGTTATCAATATATATATATATATGGGAGTTATTATTATGTAATGTATATATATCATATGTATGTAAGCTAAGTTAATATTTTATTTTGACTTGTTTCATTTTAAGCCTATTTAGTCTTCTTTTTTTTCATATATAATCACTAGTATAATCCCAATAAAACAAAATGATATTAATAAATCATGACATATATTAATGTGTGTTATGAAATTCAAATGAATTGAAAGTGATAGATTTGCACAAGCTCTAATCAAATGATGTGATTATTACTACGCAATCAAACGTGGATTTTTTAGTAATTTGATTTTGTTGACATGATTGTTGTAATGAATAATACTCCCTTTATATGTATCAGACTCTTTCAAATAATTTTCTAAGAACATATACAAAAGCGTCTATTTCATTAATTCATTTTTTTAAGAATTTAAACTAGAGTCCCAAACAAGCATAATGTTTAACATAATACTCCATATAAGTAGTAAACAAGTAGAGCTTATTTATTTCTATTCAAATAAAAAGAAAAAGAAAAAAAAAAGAGCTTGTTTAATTTTTAATTGAATTTAAAACAATGATCCACATCATTCCAATAGAATAAATTCTAAAATTGTACTTCTTCTATCCCTTAATTAGATTCCAACTTCTCTCTATTATGTGATGAATAAATGCTAGAAATAGGAATCTTATAATGGGTCGGAGGAGTATTAGAATAAGCTTCATATCAATCATAAATATACTTATCAGTTTTTCAAAATTAGAATATGATTTGATCCAATTTGCAAGTATGATAAATAAATAGTTATGTTCAATATACTTATATACAATGGATCTTTTAGGAGGTATAAATATAAATAATGTACTTTGTATATTACTATCTTCATCCCTATATAGTTGGTGTTTTTGCAAAAAAATGAGCTAACTGGGCCTTAAAGGGGTGTCTAAGAACCTCGAATTTGGGCCTTGAATGGACCTGCAAAATGAACCCCGAGCCCCAGGGGTGGACCTCGGGGCGGAGCCTCCGACGCCCAAATTAGTAGCCAAACAATGCATATAATGAGAGGAGTTTAGGGGAGAGAGTGGAGAAGTATGATCATCTTAGATGACAAGAGTGACCCCCTCTTTTACCTTTGGCCCCTTAAGGGGAATATATAGGATTAGTGAACCCTTAGAAGTACATATGTGGGCCGTTGAAGGTCATATTGATGCATTTGACTTATTTGGGACCTTTTAGACCTTTTTATGCCCTTTGGGCTTATATGGGTAGAATTACCCATGACTAAAATGGGTATGACTATTTTAGTACCCAAACAGTTGGTGTTATTTACATGTCTTGATTGACCCAAAGTATTAAGCAAATTTAATTTTTACTTTAGTGTATGATACATAGTAGAGGGGTTTTTTTTGGGTTAAATTAAAATCGGTGGTTTATAGAGCCTTTTTTTATTTTATTTTATATATTGCATTCAGTGTGTCGTTAGTATATTTTTGAACTTCATATTATAATTGATAAGTAGTGGAATCAAAATCAAGTGAGAGAAGTGATTGAAAAATAACATGATCTATATCATTTACGAAAAGGAAAAACACGTGTCAAATAAATAAGGACGACTCGACAAAGAATATATGTGTTGGACTTAATGATTTTGATGATGACACAACCTCACTTACTTACTGACTAATAAGAGCTTGATTGTTTAAGTGTGTGATCAGTGCAAAGACTAGGAGAATTAAGTGTCGAGCTAAGATACCATGAGGAACAGGAAGGCCAGAAACAAAGCTGTCCAAATAAGAGAGTTCCCTCACAGGAACTGACGCTTCAGAAATGAAGACTTGAGAAAAGAAGGTTCCCTCAGGGAACAGAAGCTTCAGAGAAGAAGCCTCACCAGAGAAGAGAAGTTCCTTCCAAGGAACAGAAGCCTCGGAGAAGAAGCTTCATCAAATAACATGAAGACTAAATATATTTTTATATTTTAGGATTTATGTAAGTATAAGATATTAAGTTGCATTCGAAATACTGTGTGGAATTGGTCTAAAAAGATAATATTGTGCTAGCTAATTTTTAAGAAAGTTGTTATTATCTAACGATTATCTTTTCAAACAAAAAAGAGGATTTTATTTTTATTTCTGATTTTACAAAATATCTTCTTAAAATAAAATCTCCATGTTTCCCAAAACTTGCGGCCTACTCCCCGTGTTCTTCTTCAAGTCGTGGTTTTGCACATTGAGGAGTTCATGGTTCCTTAACTCAAGGGACATGATCTTCTTAGTGGGTATGAGTAGTGGCGTAATGGATTTGCTGCACAATAAAGTTTTTCCAAGGCTTTTATTGCTCTATAAATAGTTCATAATTTCTGTTGGAAAATCTCACCCTTGCTCACATAAGTTTTCTAGCTTTTATTCGAGTCAAGTGTCAATTCCACACAAGTTAATTAGAGTGTTCTTAATGTTCTTAAACTAGAGTTTGTTTTTTCTTTCGAGTTGTAATTTGGGAATGGGGAGTGAACTTTTGTGTATGAGAAAGAGAAGTGAGAAAGAGAAGAGAGAACATAGAAGTGAGAAGAGAGAAAGAGAAGAGAAGAGCAACAAGTTGGGTGACTTGTTCCTCGGGGTTTCAGGTTCGTAGAGGAACTTGAGTTTGAGTCTTTAGTTTGTAATAGGACCATTTGCCCTATTCTAGTGAAGATTCTTTTCCCAAAATCCCAAGTGGTCGTGGTTTTTCTCCTTGTTAGGGCCAAGGAGTTTTCCACGTAAAAATCTCTCTTGCATTATTTAGTTCCTTTAGTTAATCTTTCTGTTCCTTTAGCTTACTTAATCTTAATTCCGCAAAAAGTTTGGCTAAAGTCTCATACTACAATTCAACCCTCCTTCTTGTAGTATTCATTGAAACAACAATATGGCATTTTAAAAAATAGTGGGGTTTAACTTTTACAAATACATCCTATATACAGAGTAATATATTTTTTATGGTTGCATTTGTTTCGTTGGCAAGTGTCACTTAAATTGTTGAATGTACTTCGAGACCGAGGGAGCTTTATTAATAACTCCTCTATTTAAGTGTTATACTTTCCTAATGAGCTATTTTTTAAAAGTGTACACTTTTTTTTTAGCAAACTACTATTACTTCATTTTAATATTATGTGTTTCTTATTTCATGGTTTCCACACATACGCATATTTTTTCTCCTCTCACATCGGTTACTAATTATTAAGCTATTACCTTTACTATCTTTTCTTATAATTTTTTAATATCTCAAGTACATTACTTTTATCTTATCATACTAATTTTAATCAAATTAAGTTAACTTATGTACCGGACAAAGTGTAAAATTTAAAGATAACGGAGGGATTAAGACTAGTTTCCAAACCTTATCTGAAAGAAGCGAACCTCGGAGGAACGGGAAAAAACCGTAGCTGGAAGAACATGAATGTAATCCCACCGGAAACTAGTTCCGATTCTTTCTAAAAGAAACCTACGAAATGAATTGGACCTCAGCCCGAAGAGTACGTGCTTCCCAAAATGATTCATCAAGGTAAAGCTATTGGTCTTTCACCTCCTCTAAAAATATAGAAGAAAAGGGTTTGCGCCCCGATATCTGCTATAAAAGGGTCGAGCCATAATAAATGGAATTCTATTAAAATAGATGAAAATAAAGTAAAGAACCGCTTTTATTCTTCGCGTCCTAGATTATTGTTAATGTTATGTATCAACAATGTTTTTTTTTTTGGAAAATTTGCAAATTACAGCCATTTAAAAAATTGCAAATTGCTGCTCAAAAGTTTTTATAAATTGTGAATTACAGCCTGATTCAACTTTTTCATCGGTTAACATGTCCAAAAAATATTTGGTTAAAGTTTTAGGAGTTATTTTAGATCTTAAAGATCCGAATTGAGCTGAAAATTAGCCAAAAAAAAAATAATGTAAGTACCTCGTTATTACAGCAAAAATTAGTTGCCCACAATTCAATACATTTTTGTTATGCAAAACAAGGCACTAACATTATTTTTTTTTGCTAATTCTGAGCTCAATTCGAACCCTTAAGAATTAAAATGGCCCATAAAACTTTAACTGAATATTTTTTGACGCGTAAACCGATGAAAAAGTTAAATCAAAGTGCAATCTACAACTTATAAGAATTTTTTACCTACAATTAGCCAAATACAAACTTTAAATTGCTTCAATTGACAAATTCAAACAACTTTACTAAACAAAATATATTCAATGGGCTCTTACCTCTGTATCCAAAAAAAACATAGTTATTAGACATATCATATTATTGGGCTTTATCGGTGTATGGTCTAGTAAGGTCTCTTCCAGGAAGACCCATCAAGAAATTAAATGAAAAGATACGTTTTTTGGGCCTTGTTCATTGATGTACTGCATTAGCAGCCAACCCAAATTTGTAACACAGCCAATGAGTCTCTCATCGTGACTCAATAAAATTGGGACTTTGTGAGTTCACATATGGCAGACTTTCGCTACTCTATTGTACGACGGGGTAAAGTTTTTTTTTTTTTTTTTGGAACGAGATGGGTTAAATTTTGCCTAAAGGTATTATAAGTTACTCTTACATTTGATAAAAATTTTCATTTATTTAACATAAATTTTACCGTTAAAAACACCCATGACGTATTAAATTAATCCTATTAGTCTTTGTAACATGTATCCATTAGAAATTACACATCTATAAACAGAAGTTGTTGACGTTACCATAGCCCACGTGTCACTTTCTCAATAAAAAAATTTCGGCGCTAAATGCAATGATGATGACATTTTTTTTTTAGAGCTAACATATTTAACATTTTTTTTATTTAAATATTGGAAGCTTCTACAACATTAAAACTAAAACCTATCAATT